ACAGGGAGGCGGGCGGCGGGGGTCTGCGGGAGCCAGCGCTCTGTGACGGGGGCAAGGTGGCCCAGCACAGCCGCAGGCTCCGGGAGTCGCTGCCTGGCTGCGCAGAGCTGCTGGAGCCGCCAGTGCTGGCCGCCCCTGGCATTCTACTCGGGCCTGAAAGCAAGTCGGTCTCGATGTTTTTGTCGTCAGTCTGTCGACAAAATACTTAAACTTAGGCAGAAAGAACAATCTCCAAAGTAAAGCCAAGAAAGATTGCTTACCTGGCAGCAGCCCTGTGGGCGACGGTCAGCCTTCCAAATCGGCATGCCCCATGCGTGGCTGCGGGGCAGGGGTTGGCTGGGGGTCGGTGGGAGCCCCAGAGCTGGCTGTTGGGTGTGTTGGGTGCCCTCTGTCAGATCAGGTGGGTCCTTCTTCAAAAGTGGCTCGCCAAAAATGATGCCATGCATCAACCAATTGTATGTCACCAAGGTAGATTACGTACATTTCCCACTTGTCTCTTCCCATTTTTGGTACAATGCCCGAGAGGGGAGGAAGGAGGAGATGGCAATGAGCATCCATGACCAAGGTGGATTGTAGAAACCAGGTCAAGCCCTGCTGGGTGTTTCTTGTCCAACCTGTTTTTGGGAACGGAGGTGCTTCCTCCTTAGCCTGGTGTGCGAGGCAGCAGCATGACACACAGGAGTGGCTACCAGCAAAAGGCTGTTTCAGGAATACCCTGTCTTCTTCTGTCTGCTGGAGCAAAGCTAGGCATTTGCATCTGTTATCAGAGAGAAATAAAAAACAAGTTCTCATCTTGACATTCACTTGCAAAAACAAGTGAAAAGGCCCATAACTGCAGGTAGTTGTTGCTTTTGGTTTATTGCTAACCTTAGTTTGAGCCTCTATGTGAGATCATAAGCAGCATGAGCATTGTGCTCACCCTTACTGTCTCATGACTTCACAGTTCTTGTTTCTTATAATTTTGAAATTCCTACTTCTCAAGCTTTCTATAATAAAGGAATACTTTTAATAGTTATTGTAGTTGGAAAAAACAGTCTTGTATGTAGCTATTAAGCTTTTCCTTTCATTTTCGCAAGTGCAGCTGTGCAAGTAATGTTTGTCTGCCTGCAAAATTAGTTGCCTATAGCATTGTTTTCAGAGTAATTTTCACTGCTGCTTTGCCAGCGTGAAGAACGCAGTGTTATGTTCCATGTCATTTTTCAGCTCTTTGTTATTGTCCACTGAAAAAAGCTGTCTCCTGAAGATCTTTTTTGTGTAGTTCTCAGAACAGTAGTAGCACTATAAAAACAGGTCTCTCTTCCACAGAATTTGGTTGGAATATGTGTTTATTTGGTATGAGGAGGGAGGGTATATGCCCTTTTTAGAATACCATGGAAGATTTGGGGTTTTTCTGATTCAAACCTATTGAGGTTGAAATAATTTCAGCAGTGGATGTATTACAGTATTCTGATTGTAGGAACGAAGAACATGAATGCTTCTTTTTGTGTGTACAAAAATTGTTGCAAGCCTTAAAAAGTGAAAAGCATGGCTGTGATTTCTAAAATTATCCTCCTTGCCTTTATTTCTTTTAGTAACTCTGCCTGTTTATATTAATTTCCACGTGTTTCAAACTTTGTAAGGACAATAGCAGTGCCCTGCCATGGCGTTACTTCTGTTGATTATAAGAGTGAGCTCTAAACAAAGTTTTATGTGGCAGTCTGCTCCTTTTAAACTCCCACCCAAAGTTTATCTAGTGTTGTATAGACACACAGATTAGCAGATGAATCTCTTCCTAAAAGTACTAACTTCTTTCCTCTATAAAAGTCAAGAGGATGCTGAGTCAGATGCAGACCTCTCTACCTTTGCTCGGGTGAATCATACCTAAGCACATGCTGTGAATTCTAACAAAAGTTAGTTGCAACTAGCACAATTGATACCCATACCGTAAATAATACTTGCTTTTGTTAAGTGGATATTACTGATGAATAATTTTTAAATGGTACAGTGGACAAAACTCCTATGAAGAATGTTATGTTTCACCTGACAGTGTTCAAGCTTTTACTGGGTACGTCAGTTGTCAGGAAACTTAAATTTGCTATAAAGGCCTCCACTTTCATATATTCATCTTCTTCAGCACCTACCAATTGAAAAAAGTTTGAACACTGTCGCTTTATAGTCTAACATGAAGTTAGGGTGCAGAGATGGACATATGGGGAGGAGAGCAATCTCCATCGAATCAGAATAAGGACAGAGCAGAGCAGGATCTAGGACTTGCATCTAGAAGTATCTTCACTGTTTTAATAGATTTGGGAAGCTCTGAGATCTCACATAGAAGGTTTCTTCAGCTGATCTCCCTGTTGCAGTTAAGCCTGACTGGTGGAAAAGCAGTGGGCTCACAGTGAATACATTGTTGCTGAGTTAGGATTGAACTTGCAGGTAAATGTGTACACCTAACTCTTACTGTGTGGTTAAGGCTCTTGCTATTGTGCAAAGAGATGTACTAGGTAAAATAGCCTTTTTCTTACAGGATATGGCTTATACTGGTGAAACATAATCATGTTGTACACCTAAAATTGTATTTGCTAGTATTTAATATATTTGAAATTCTGACAATTCTTTGATAGCTGATAGTTTATTCTGAACAAAGGGAGGCTGTCAAACATACTGCATGTCTGCAGAGTGCTTAGCAGACAAGGTGTTTATGTAGTGTTGAAAACTTTTCCCAGCTATAAATGTTTTCTTTCCAGATATAATAAAGGAGCAGAATCGAGAGTTAAGAGGTACACAGAGGACTATAACCAGAGATAGAGCAGCACTCGAAAAGCAGGAAAAACAACTGGTAAGTAGAGCAAGGGACTTTATTTTACTCTTTACAAACACACACACACCCTCAATATAACAGAAAACTTGTAAAGTGCTAAAAATACAACTCATTGTAGAATAACTGAACACTGAAAAAGCTGTCTTCCCCTTTTTGACTTTTCAGTTATTAAAACTGTGTCAGAAAAAAATTACTATCTAACAGTGATTCTCGGTGTTTAACGTAGGAAAACCCTGAAACAATGTGTTCAGTTTAAATCACCACATTCATTTTTCCCTTCCACTCTTGCCATTCTCCATCTTTCAGAAGACTTTTTCTAACAGGCTTATAAATCAGTGATTTTTCAGTGGAAAAAATATAAGAAGTGTCATGTTACCATGACTCTCCAATGGGAGAGAGTACTTGAAAAACTATAGGGTTATTATTTTCATTCTTCTAGAACTTCCCTAAAACCAGCTAATAATAGTAAAACTATCTGCCTAAATTAAGATTTATTTAAAACTTAATGTGTGTGAGCTATCAAGTATTCAGTGAATGGATGCTGCACCTGTGTGGCAGTATAATTGGATAAATGGATGACAGATGGTGGGATTTGATGCATGAAAACATGCTCAGACTGTGGGAAAAGCTATGCAAATCCAGCCACTGTTTCGGTACCTGCTAAGGTGTTTCATGGCAGCAGGTTACGTGAATACCAAGAGCTGGGAATAATAAACAGGTCAGAGAAATTGTTTCTGGAAGCTCTGAAAATGTAAGATCTAAGAGGTTACTCATAGATGAGGCATTTATCAATATGCAATATTCTGACTCTGGAAATAACCTTAATTTTCATGAATAATCAGGTTGAAGATTTGATTACACACTACAGTAAATTGTTTCAGAAATGTTTGATTTCTGAGAAGAAGAAAGGAGAAGTGACATACATCTTTGGTAAAGTTAAAATTTGCTGTTAGGATGAGAGAATCAATGGACAGTAAGTATTACTTTTCAGAGTCAGATCAGGTTCAAAAGAGTGAAGGGCTTGTCAGTTCATCTCAGAACATTTTGCTACATTCTTCTTTTTCCTTGACTACTCTGAGAAAACCTAGATATATTAATTCTATGTATAAAAATACTTTAAAGTATACAGACAGTTCTGTTTCAGTTCAGTAACCTCATATGACTATATGAATTTCGATTATTTTTTTTCCCAAAACATAACTGACTCTAATAAGCTTTCTCCAAACCTCTCAAAAACAAATAATGCATTTCAGCTCTTTACTGAAATTCTTCTTAATTAAGAATAAAGTAATCTCTCTATAGGGTTTGATTTCTGCAGCTGGATTATCTCCAGTGAATTAGGAATCAGTGGTGTAGGTTTACATTTCACTTTGAAAATCAGGTTATAAATGCTGCCTAGGTCTTTCATCTCGGTGAGAATATCCCTATTTTCAAATGTTTGCTCTTAAAACTAGGGTGCAAACTAATCCCTTCTTTCCTTCACAATACTTGAGGTATGAAAAAAGGAGATAATATTCTGAGCATGTTATAGAAATTTGTTTTTGTGGTCTCTGTGAGCTACTTAGAAAATGGACAGCTTTACATGTATTTCAGGCCTCTAATGATTGAACAGTCTTATGCTGCTTGTTTGCTGATCTGTCCCTTCTTGGATTAAAAATAGTATGTATGACATAGCCTTTCAGAAATTGTAGATTTACAGAGATCTTATGCCAGTATCATCTCTGTAGTAACCATAACTATGGTCTTTCCTAGTAGTGAATCTAATGCAGTTGGTCAGTTTACACTTGCCTTTAAACATAGCTGTGACCAGTCTTTACCTTTTCAGAGCAACATATCCTCTTATAAATGCAGTTTTCTGGACTACCAGTGCACATAAAATGAAGCAACTGTATTTCTGCAGCAGGTATATTCTCCTGAGAAATGCAGGAGAAAGCTGGTCTTTAAAGGCTGCTTTTACTTAATGGTAAAAATAAAAATGTACAATTAGACATGTACAAAGAACTGATATACTGCGGCAAGCCCTCCCTAAAAAGGCTGAAAAAGAAAAATTAGTTGAAAAGTTTACATTGCCAAGTCACAAATCAGGAGGCACAGTTTGAAAAATTCTAGCTGACAAGATTAGTTGAGCCAAACATTTTCCTGATACTTCTGGGCTACATAGCTTGCTATTTCTCCTTGTTGAAATGGCTTTACTAAGGGCAAGTACTGCCTGACCAAATTAGTTGCCTTCTGTGATGGAGTGACTACATCAGTGGAAAAGGGAAGAGCAAAGGATGTCTTCTATCTGAATTTCTGTAAGGCCTTTGACATGGTCCCCCAGCAGCCCTGAAGAGAAGGACTTGGGGGTACTGGTGGTTGAAAAGTTGGACATGAGCAGGCAATGTGCACTTGCAGCCCAGAAGGTCATCTGTATCCTGGGCCGCATCAAAAGAAGCGTGGTCAGAAGGTGATTCTGCCCCTCTACTCTGCTCTGGTGAAACCTCACCTGGATTACTGTGTTGAGGGGTCCAGAGCTGGACACAAGAAAGACATGGAGCTGTTGGAGCCAGAGGACCACAAAAGTAATTACAAGGCTGGAGCACCTCTCCTGTGAGGACAGGCTGAGAGAGTTGGTGTTCTTCAGCCAGAAGAGAAGGCTGCGGGGGGGACCTTATTGAAGGCTTTCAGTACTTTAAAGTGGTCTATAAGAAAAATAGGGACAATCTTTTTAGCAAGGTTTGTTGTGACAAGGAGTAATGATTTTAAACTAAGGGAGAATAGATTTAGACTGAATATAAGAAAGAAATGTTTTACTATGAGGGTGGTAAAACACTGGAACAGGTTGCCCAGTGAGCTGGTGGACATTCAAGGCCAGGCTTGATAGCTCTCTGAGCAACCTGATCTAGTTAAAGATGTCCCTGCTCACTGCAGGTGTTGTTGACTTAGATGACCTATAAAGGCTTCTTCCAATCCAAAGCATTCTTTGACTCTATGAAGTGATAGATTGGGTTTTGGTTTTGTTTTTTTTTTTGTAAGCCAGAAGTGTCTGTCTTAAGGCTTAAGCATATGTTGTTGTAGACAAATTATACTGCTTTTATTATGTGCTGAGTTAAGTCCGCCTATATTATGTGGGTAAACAGCCTATAATTATTGTTTATCTGGTTTTATCAGCCTCTTCCCCAAGAAGGTTATGAGGTTCTCTGAAAAGTATTTATATAACTTCTAATGTCTTAAAAGAATAACCAAGAAGACAGTTAACACTAATAATTAAATTCCAGAAGTTAAGGCTTAATTATAGTCTTTGTTTGAATGAAAATTCTGTAGAATTCATCTTATGCCTTTTTAAACAGGAACTGGAAATAAAGAAAATGGCTAAGACTGGTAACAAAGAAGCCTGCAAAGTGCTAGCAAAACAGCTTGTACAACTGCGGAAGCAGAAGAATCGAACGTATGCTGTTAGCTCTAAAGTCACTTCTATGTCGTCTCAAACAAAGGTCATGAACTCTCAGATGAAGATGGCAGGAGCTATGTCAACTACAGCAAAAGTAAGGCATTACAAGTTATTCTTTTACATTAAAATGCAGCATATGTTTGCAAAAGTCAAGTTATGTTATTTTGTATAAGATAATTGAAGGGAGAAAACTTATGCTTAATACCCCAAATCATATTGAGGGTACAATAGTGGAATGTAGGTTGATTCATCTGATGAAATTTTTGTCTAGTCAGTCCACCCTGCTAGCTCCTAACTAAGCATATTTTCTTGGGCTAGACATCTGTCAAATGTTTACATGATAAAAATAGACTCTAATGCCAGTGGAAGAACTCTTTTAATACATAAAAAAACCCCAAACCATACTGCTACAGTGCTTTGCCTGTGTATCTTGTTGCAGTTTTTATTGGGAAAAAGTAGAGCATGCTTCGTCTAGAAATCAAGACAGTGTGTCATAGTAGCTTTATGGCTTGTGCAAAAACTAGGTTATTATATCGCATCTTAAGTTCCTAAGGAAATTTAATCTGAAATTCCCTGTCATTCTCACTCTCCATGCTCGTAGGAAACAGTATTGCATTAAGTTTTCTCACAAATCTCATCTCACAAGAGAGTCTGAAAAAATCTCAGTTGTCTGACTTAGTTGTGAACTTTTCCCTATTTCCCTGAACTGATAAATAGGGAGTTTGCTTTTGGCAAGCAAGACTTTTCAGCTTGAGGTGTAGGAATCAGAATTAGCACACATTGTTGTAGACAGGTTGTGCTTTTATCACAGTCCAAGTTAAATCCAGTTACATGCCAGTTAAATAGAGTAATGCAACGCAACTTAGTGCAGAAAGTAATCACTGCTAAGGCTTTGCTGTCAGGTATCTTTTAGAAGCAGTTACGTTGGCAGGTATCAGCCATTCAGTGATAGAGTTGTGGCTCTGTAGCAAACTTTCCATCCTCTGTGACTAAGCCCCAACAGGGGAGCTTGTCTGACTGTACAGCCAATCAGGTTGAACAGCTGACTCACTATTCCCACAACAAAGTGCATGTGAACAAGTTGGTCTTGCTGTTTAAATCATTATATGGGTGACTTGTTTTTGTCCATGAGACATCTTGGATCAAATTTCTCAAAACCAAAGTGTCATTAAGCTAATTATGAAGATTAAATCACTAGAAAAAACTCCAAAAGTATTTAAAATAGAAATTAAAGGGCATCCAGAAAGTTACATGTTTTAAACACAGCAGGTATTTCTATGGATTAGGTTGTATAATGTTACTGGAGTGAAAGGTGTTAAATGCTTTTGATCACTTTTAAAGTGAATATTTTGCCATATCAACATAGGAACCTTAAAAAAGAAAAGTATTCAGTTGTTCATTTTGAATCTTATAAACCATTCTTAATCCCATGCAACAATCAGTGGAAAATGTATAGAATGAATTGCCTCAACAAGCAAGACATACGTGAATGCAAAGCTTCTAAAGTAATTTCTATAAAATTTTTAGCATGTATGACACTAATTTTGGACATAGTGAAGTCCAGTTAATAGTAACATGTTTATTTTAATCATGCATTTTCTGAGGATATATAAATGCTGCATCAGTTTAGTGCAAATATTTTTGATGTCCATCTCTAAGTCTTGTAATAGAATTCTGAAGAACTGACACCTGAGTCCAAAACAGCTTATTGTATTCAAATATTGTGAATATGAACACAGTCTTTGAAATTCTAGTAACGTTAGAAGCATAATACACTATCAATTTAAACAAACTCAGACATGAAGGCAGAAGAACTTCTATGAAGCCAGTAGCAGCTGCAGTAGCTTGATAGTGTCGCTTTTAATTAACCAGCTCTTTTATCGTCTCAGAGATGTTTAGACTTTGTTTGAGTTGCTCATTTCTATATTTAGGTTTTGGCATCCCATGAGAGATGCAGTAGCTTCCTTAGGAAAGAAGAAAGTATTAAATACTGGTGCCTGCAAAGGCAGTGCTGCATACTGGTAGTAAAACAGGTGAAATTTATTACACTGTCACAGAAAGATCTCTACCCAGGACAAAGGTTCTCCCTAAGCCAATATGTACTTCCTAGATACTTTGATACTTGCATTTCAGAGAAAAGTAATCTTTCTATTAAATTATAGCATAAAGAAACAATTGTAATTTGATGCCTGTCCTCTAGTGGTGCTTCAAATAAGTGTTCCTTACTGAATAAAGAACCTGCAGCCATTTACCTCTCTAAAGTGTATAGCCTGTAAGTTAGGAAATACTATCTCATTCTTTCCATTTAGATCAGGCAGATTTTTCCTAATATAAGGCTGGGAGAAGGGTCATGGTACAAGAAAGACGCATACATTTAAAAGCATATCTGTTAGGGTAATAAATAGCAATATTTCTTACTAGGTGCAGACTGTACTATCAGTCTGTTGTGCGTCTGCAGTTCTCATGGGATATAAAAAGGCAAAGAAAGCGAAATTTGGACTGAAGGGTTTTTATTAGAAAAGTCTTATTCCTTCTTAATGTGTATATTGATCTTTACTAATGCCTCATTGTATGATTAAAGGTTTTTTTCAATATTAATAGACAATGCAAGCAGTTAATAAGAAAATGGACCCACAAAAGACACTACAAACTATGCAGAATTTCCAGAAGGAAAACATGAAGATGGAAATGACTGAAGAAATGAGTAAGTTGTGCACTGCAGGGAAGAACTAGCTGCAGCCCGCAGTGCTCTTGAAGGGCTTGAGCCAGTCTAGAAGTAGTGATGTTTGAGGTTTTATTTCTACAATTAGATTGACAGCAGAATTGAAGAGCAAACAATGCAGATCTGAGGAGGGAGACTGCCTTAGTTTTTTTAGTAGCTCTAGATACATAAATCCTTCCTATCTTCATGCTTCTGGAATGAACACACTGGAAGAGAGGGAGGTTTGAGACCACTTCAAAACCTTGTTGGCGTAACTGGTAGGGGATTTGAAAAATTGCCTTTTCTGTAGCTGATAGTTGTGCATGTGGTTTTTTTCCTGCTGCAACTGGACACTTTAGAATTTGAGTTTAATTTAGAGATCATGAATTATCTCAGCTTTGCATACATGGTGGTATGGGATGGTTTTGTCTCCTTTGTTATTTTAAGCTACAAACAGCGTCTTGGGGGGTGGCAAGTTTATTCTTCCTGATAGCATCTGGCCACTGTCAATTAAATAATGCCAAACTTCCTGGTGTTGCTAGCAGTCTCCTTCCTGTCCTAGTCCCTGCCACTGTGTTGGTCATAGTAAGTAGCGTGGACTCAAAGCAATATTGTTGAGCAAGATGTGAACACCTCAACTGTGCAGAACTGTATTCTTGCAATTAAGAAATTAGCTGAGTAGTTAACAATTTCACAACTTAGAGGAGGAAGAGGAAAAGCATTTTTATGGAATTGTAGAGGATGTTTTTAAGAAATGTTAAAGTCTAGTAAGGGGGGAAATAAAACAACTGAACTATTTTGGTGAAACCAAACATTTTTATAAGAGCAGTCATGCCTTACCCTGTTGGGTAAGTTGGTCCAGCTATGCTCACAGGCTTGGCAAGGCAGAGGTAAGAAAGCCTCTCCAATATACAGCTGCTTTCTGTTGTTATCTTACACAGGAGTATTACTACTACATTCTGGGAGGGTAGAACTTTCTGCTTAATGCAATGTGGATTTTTTTTTTTTCTTTCTTCTAAGTTAATGATACTCTGGATGATATTTTTGATGCTTCTGATGAAGAAGAAGAAAGCCAAGATATTGTTAACCAAGTGCTTGATGAGATAGGAATTGAAATCTCTGGAAAGGTATGGCTAATTTTACCCAGTTCATGTGCTTCTTCCCCTTCATTCCCTTTTGTTTTATAGTTTATTCTAGCAGCCTTTATTTTACAGTCCTGTTCTGGAAGTCAGCTTATCATAACATGTATTATTTTGACTGAAGAAAACTTCTATCTTCTTCTAGATGGCCAAAGTTCCATCAGCTGCCAGAGGCTTACCATCTGCATCAACATCAAAAGCTGCTACCATATCAGATGAAGAGATTGAACGACAGCTCAAAGCTCTGGGAGTTGATTAGCTTGATGGCAATATACAGTCTGCCTTTTAATTATTCAGCTGCAGGCAGATGTAAAAAGTGCAACTACTCTTTCAATGCAACTGATGCCTAGGAAAACTCTGAAGCTTCAGAAATGACAACTTGAAATTGGTACTGGGGAAGGAGAAGGGGAGAATATTTTGAATCAGTTTACAGCGAGAAGTACACTTGGTGTGTCCATTGCATGGAGTCTTTGAGCACTGGACCAACCAGGGATGTAGTTCTAATGATAAGTTAGTGTATACTTGTTCTGAATCTGCCCTCTGAATTCAAAGTTTTCTTCTCAGGTCCTGATCAGTCTTTAGAATTGGGCATTCTGTGGCTGGTGGTGATGCCTCCTAGGACAACACCTGTATAATATATATGATTTTTATAAAACTGTCGCTATAGAAAAATTCTTATTCTGTCATCTTAGCACAAATGAAACTTCACCTTTGCTCTTAGCTAGAAACTATTTTCTTTGATTGAGGAATAGCCTTGAAAGTCTAGCAAATCTAGGCAGAAAGAACAAGCATCTTATGTATTTCTTTCAAGTTCCTGGAGTAACGTTGGGTTTATTAAATAATAGCTGGTTATTCTTTTTACCAAAAGAGAAGGATACAGTCCTTGTGCAGTTAGTTTTACTGGAAGAGGATTTAAATTTGTTAGTGAACCTTGTTGCATGAAAGGCACTGATTGAACTCTATTGTACTGTAACATAGCTGGTTTCAACAGAATTGCTGTGCCTTTATGTATATAAATCTTGTATCTTTGTCATTTTTTTCCAGAATGAGTCTTTGAAAGGCGAGTAAACTGTAATTAAGATAGGATGCACAGAACACTGTGGCAGGAACTCTGTGTGTACTTGATAGGACTCGGCTGAAGTTCAGAGATGCACTTGTTCAGAAATGCAACTTGCGCACTTGCGAAAAGGACATTTGCCTGAAACAACATTTGTATATATTCTACAGTTTTCCTTAATGGAAGATAACTGTGCATAATTGTATTATTTACTAAGATGCAATTGTTCACATTGATAAGCTAAATCTAAATTTTAGTTTTAAGAACATTTTTGGATGATCCCTGATAATTACTTGCCTAAACACTATAATAAAAGTATTCTGTTTCTGCGAAGCTTTTTCTATGATCTCTGAACTGCATCAGCATGATTCTAGTGGAATGCATCGTGCTAATGAAGTAAGAACTGTTGATATTTTAAATAGATAGCAAAGTCTGAGAATGCAGTTCCCAGGTATGATTTCCCAGATGGTGTGAAGTTCCTCAGCCCTTTCTGTGCTGGAGATTATTTGCCTCTCAGTTGTGCTGATTTAATGGAGCTGTTCATTGAAAAGAAACAACAAAAACATCTTGGCTTTAAAAAGAGAAAAGCAAAATACCTCCCCAGGAGTGAAACCAGGATAACTGTGGAGGGATGAACTTCACAAAGAAACTGTGCTGCTAGAGAAAGGATAGCAGGAAACCATAAACTCTATGAATCTATTGTTGTTGTGCCATCTGCTTTTTAGGACTGAAGTCAGCATAGAAAGAAGAAACATAGGTGAGTCTTCATCTGGTTTTTGGCATAGAAATGTGTTCTTTCTCTTTGAAGGAAGTATGGACAAACTACGAATCTGTGAAGTAGTAGTTAGGAATGTGAAAGTTTATATATTACATATACCTGATATGAGGTGATTTTTTTTTTACAAGTTATTTTGTAAAACTCTAATAAAAGGCTTTTTATTCTGCAATGACTTTGTCCTCTGTAGGGTTAGTCTTACACATCTGTCTGTTGTGGGCTTTCATTGGGTTCCTGTCACTTCTGATAAATTTTCCTTTGACCTGAGCTATAAGTCAGCATAATATGTTGTTGCATTCCTTTCTGTCTGTAATGGGGTGCCCAAGTACTGCTCTTAGGCATTGAAGGATAAACTATAATGTGAAATCAGGTATAACATGTTACTGATTGATTGTATTTTGGTTGAACACCAAGGCATATGTCCTTTCTGAATGAAGTATGCACATTTTCCTTTTAATGACTGTTGAAATTGGGCATAATTCTATTATGAGCTCTTTCTTCTATCTGCAGGGTCTTTGCTGAGCAGTAATAAAGGCATTGCTTTGTGGTGTCAGTAAGACTGCTAAACTAGTATCTGGTGTTTCTGTTAACGGTTGTCTTCTAAGTCCTGCAGCTTTAATCTGTATAAAAATCTTTCAGTAACCATGTGAGAAGTGGTGTAGGTTTGCAGGCTTGCTTATATTTATTTCAGTTACAGTTGGTATGTTGTAGCTGCCTATAACAAAATTGCATCGCTTACTTAGAAACATATTTCTTTTAAATCAGTCTTAGCAGACTAAAAAACCCCCCCAAACTACTCAGTCCTTAGACTCCTTTGCCCTTGCTGACACCTTAATAGCAACTGAATCTGAAAGTCCTCCATCCAAGAACAATGCAAGTGTGCACACACCTAAGAATGGCTGTATTGGGGCAGACCAAGGTACATCTCACCCAGAATCCTACTATACAAGTGCCCAAAGCAATGCCCAGAAAAATATGAGAATAAGAG